ACTTTTTTGCGGAAAAGCGCGTCTAGATTGGCCACAGACGCTTTTCCGCAAAAAGTGCTTTTCTGGAAAAGTGTCCTGCCAATCTAGACGCGCTTTTCCGAAAATGCTTTTCATGAAAAACTTTTCCGTTAAAAGCATTTTCGGAAAATCATGCCAGTGTAGACGTAGCCCCTATGTTTACCAGGTTGGAGCTGCGGAGTTTTAAAAATGGTGCCCAAGATGGCGGCCATCTTCAAGGGGCAGCCTCCTTTTCAAAACAATTTTTTTGCTTGACAATTCTGACAATTCATGACACTGTTCTGCCCACGCCCCACCCCATCCTCATTGCAGCCCTTGCCTCAAGCCTCCTCCCTGGGCGATGCAACGGGAGCAGGCGGGTCAGGCACCACGCAGCAGGGGGGACCACCGGCCAGGAGCTACCCTGACTCCAGTCCCAGCCTGCTACCCTGAGCCCTTCATTGCTCGGGGGGGAACGGGCTGGGGTCGGGGAGCTCAGTTTCCCACGCTGCGGTGAAGCAGAGTGCAGCGGGCTGCGACATAGGCAGGGCGGAGCCAGAATGGCATGGAGCTGGCTGCTGGGTAGCTCTGGCTCCCACTGCTGAGCTGAGGGGGGAGTGGAGACCCCTGTGGCCATGCCGTGGCATGCCAGCGCCCCCCCCTCCACCCCAATAATCCTCCAGGCCTCCCTGGGCCCCAGAGCCCTGTCCATAGGATGGCTGAAGTGGCTGCCATGGGGACCACTGCAAACTGCCCAATGGACAGGAGGGATCTGGTCATGCTCAGCTGTGAATCACGGATATGCTGAAGCAGCCCTGCACAGGAGCCAATAGCAGCGCCAGGAGCAAGGATGTAAATCTGCACCCCAGGAGGCCTCCTGCTGGCTTCTGCATCAGGGCAATGCGGGGTGGGAGGTGGGATGTTTCACTGAGAGCTCTGGCGGGAGCAGTTGCAGGCTGTGGCCCCGTGCACCTGGCTGGCAGGGAGGGGAGTGGAAAACATCAGCCTTGACAAGTGATTGGCCTGGTCAGTGGTGGGGGCTGGGGCTGTCACACCCGTCACTGGGAGGCAGCTTGCAGATGCTCAGGAACCTCCCTCAATGTTTATTCCCTTGGCTGTTTGCAGACGCCGGCATCCCAGAAGAGTCTCAGCTCCGGCTGGTGAACGGTTCGAGTACCTGCTCCGGGAGAGTCGAGGTGCTGCACAACCAGCAGTGGGGGACCGTGTGTGATGACGGCTGGGATTTAATTGATGCTGAAGTCGTGTGCCGGCAGCTGGGCTGTGGAACAGCCTTGTTAGCCCCAAGGGCGTCTCGATTTGGGCAAGGCTCCGATCCCATCTGGCTGGATGACGTTCAGTGCACAGGGACAGAAGCTGCCCTCTCTGCATGCAAGGCTAAGCCTTGGGGAACGCATAACTGTCAGCATAGGGAAGATGCCAGTGTTGTGTGCTCAGGTAACCCTCCTCCGTCACCACGGGTGTTGTAGGAAGTGGGACAGAGCCTCAGTAAGGGGCGCTCTCTCCTCACAGTGAGTTCTGGCCCCCAGCTCCCCAGCATCACACTTAGGGCTTGCACTGCAGGGAGCAGTGCATGTGCCTCGGTGAGAGACCCTCCCTGGCGCTGAGCCCCCTGCCCCACCGCAGCACCATGAGCTCTGGGTAACCCTTGATCCCATTTGTGGGATGTGGGTCGAATGGACCATGCAGTCACTCAGGGGTCCTGTATGAAGTGTGGGGCTCTTCCCCCTGTCACTCCAGGTGATTTCCATCTCCGCTTTGCCAATAACATCTCACAAAGTGTGACTGGAACCAGGATTCTTCCTTCCTCGCCTACACAGCCCATGAGTTTCTGTGCCTGGTCTCTCAGCTGCCCTGTTCTACACCAGAGGCGGCTGCATCCCAATTGTTCAGAATAAGGCTTTTTTTAAAAAACTGATTGTGATTTATTGTGTAATTAATTACACCTTTATACAGTAATAGAAACAATTTATTTAAATATTTTGGATGTTTTCTATATTTTTAAATATATTGATTTCTATTACAACACAGAATGAAAAGTGTACAGTGCTCACTTCATATCGATTTTTCATGGCAAATATTTGCACTATAAAAAAGAAACAAATGAAATAGTATTTTCAGTTCGCCTCAGACAAGTACTGTAGTGCAATCTCTTTATCATGAAATATTAACTTACAAATGTAGAATTATATACAAAAATAACTTCATTCAAAAATAAGACAAAGTAAGACTTTAGAGCTTGCGAATCCACCCAGTCCTATTTTTTGTTCAGCCAGTTGCTGAACAAACAAGTTAGTTTATATTTATGGGAGATAATGCTGCCTGCTTTTTTACAATGTCGCTTGAAAGTGAGAATAGGCATTTGCATGGCACTGTTGTAGCTGGCATAAAAAGATATTTATGTGCCAGATGCATTAAAGGTTCATATGTCCCATGTTTTGACCATCATTCAAAGTACAGGCAGTCCCTGGGTTACGTACAAGATAGGGACTGTAGGTTTGTTCTTAAGTTGACTTTGTATGTAAGTCGGAACTGGTACATAATGTAGGGGAAACTCTAGTCAAACATTTCTCCAGAGCTCAGTTTTATTCTCCCACACCTCACTTCCCTCAGTCCTTTATTCTCAAGCTGAGGTGTCTGCTGAGAAAAGCTGCTCCGCGTCTCCCTGGTCTGCTAGGGGGAAGCAGCTAGTGCGGGGTTACCTCACCCCGTTTGTAAGTACGGATCCGATGTAAGTTGGATCCATGTAACCCGGGGACTGCCTGTATTTGTGTCCATGTTGATGATGAATTCTGCTCAACATCAATCCAAAGTTTTTCTTTGTGAAGTGCATAGTCAACCTGTGGAACTCCTTGCCAGAGGATGTTGTGACGATCAGGACTTTAACAAGGTTCAAAAAAGAACAAGATACATTCATGGAGGTTAGATCCATCAATGGCTATTAGCCAGGATGGGTAGGAATGGTGTCCCTACCCTCTGTTTGTCAGAGGCTGGAAATGGATGACAGACAAGGGATCACATGATGATTCCCTGTTCTGTTCACTCCTTGGGTACATCTAGACCGCAAGCTTCTTTCAAAAGAACCTTTTTCAGAAGAGATCTTCCAAAAAAAATTCTTTAGAAAGAGAGCGTCCACACTGCAAAAGCACATCGAAAAAGTGCTGCACTTTTTCAAAAGATCCAGACTGCCTGGACGCTATCTCGCATGTAAGCAGTGATTGCTATGGATAGCATGGCCACCAGGGCACCTGTGTTTCTTCCTCTTCCCTCTTCTTCTGAAAAAACTCCCTCTTCCCCATCCACACACACCTTTTTCGGAAAGAGGTCTTTCGGAAAAGACGTTCTTCCTCATAGAATGAGGTTTACCCATGTCGGAAAATCCCCTGCATTCTTTCAATTTTCTTTTGAAAGAACATGATTGCAGTGTGGACATAAGTGAAGTTTTTTCGGAAAAATGGTCATTTTATACCCTCAGCAGGGCTCATACCTGGACTTGTGTTCTCCAAGCACATGGACTGAGGGTTTAAAACAGAGCACAGGAACCCCATACTTAGACTCAGGGGGGCTGTGTCTACATTGGGCCACTTATTCCGGAAAAGCAGCCACTTTTCCGGAATAACTTGCCAGCTGTCTACACTGGCCACTTGCTTTTCCGGAAAAGCAATGACGTTCTACTGTAAAATTGTCAGTGTTTTTCAGGAAAAACTATGCTGCTCCCATTCGGGCAAAAGTCCTTTTCCGGAAAAGCAATGACGATCTACTGTAAAATTGTCAGTGTTTTTCAGGAAAAACTATGCTGCTCCCGTTCGGGCAAAAGTCCTTTTCCGGAAAAACTGTTCCGGAAAAGGGCCAGTATAGACAGCACAGTAGTCTTTTCCGCAAAAAAGCAAAAAATCTTTTTTAGGGGAAAAGACAACATGTCGGGCTCGTCTACACTGGCCCCTTTTCCGGAAGGGGCATGTAAATTTCACCTATCGTAGTAGGGAAATCCGCAGGGGATTTAAATATCCCCCGCGGCATTTAAATAAAAATGTCCGCCGCTTTTTTCCGGCTTTTAAAAAAGCCGGAAAAGAGCGTCTACACTGGCCCCGATCCTCTGGAAAAAGCGCCCTTTTCCGGAGGCTCTTATTCCACGAGCCCGTCATGTTTATTAAGAATACAGTATGAAAAGCTGCATATGCATTTATACATCCACACACAAAGGTCCTGCAGATGATTTATAGTTACCAGTCTGTCCTGACTTAAGTTAATGTTACCAGCCAAGTAAGATTGAGCATGAGTGAGGAGTGGAGGTTCATCTATCATGATTTGAGGCTCCTCTGAGGCTTGGCTTGCAGGATAAAACCCAGTCTTATGGCAAGAACCCCCCTTTTCTTGCCGAGGTTTTGCTCCGCGTCTCCCTGGTCTGCTGGGGGCCACCCCAGACGCGGAGCGGCTTTTCTCGCCACGGAGGACGCGGGCGGCAGGACCGCAGTGCGTCTGGGCGGTCCACCACCCGAGTCCTCCGTGGCGAGAAAAGCCTGGTCTGCTGGGGGGGGGCACTAGCTGTGCTCCCCCCCAGCAGACCAGGGAGACACAGGCAGCAGGACTGCAGAGAGGCGCCGCAGTCCCGCCGCCCGTGTCCTCAGAGGCTTTGCTCCGCATCTCCCTGGTCTGCAAACCCCGCAGCAGACCAGGGTTTTCTCGCTGACACCTGGGGTAGAGCAGCTGGGGTGCTGCCGGGTTGGTCCCCGCAGTGCCGAGGTGCGGCGCTGTGGGGACCTACCCGGCAGCGCCCCAGCTGCTCTACCCCAGGTGTCAGCGAGAAAACCCTGGTCTGCTGCGGGGTTTGCAGACCAGGGAGATGCGGAGCAAAGCCTCTGAGGACACGGGCGGCGGGACTGCGGCGCCTCTCTGCAGTCCTGCTGCCTGTGTCTCCCTGGTCTGCTGGGGGGGAGCACAGCTAGTGCCCCCCCCCAGCAGACCAGGGAGACACAGGCAGCAGGACTGCAGAGAGGCGCCGCAGTCCCGCCGCCCGTGTCCTCAGAGGCTTTGCTCCGCATCTCCCTGGTCTGCAAACCCCGCAGCAGACCAGGGTTTTCTCGCTGACACCTGGGGTAGAGCAGCTGGGGTGCTGCCGGGTTGGTCCCCGCAGTGCCGAGGTGCGGCGCTGTGGGGACCTACCCGGCAGCGCCCCAGCTGCTCTGTCCCAGGTGTCCAGACTCAGCCACTGTTGAAACTGATCAGTGGCTGATTCCAGGAAGCCCGGGGCAGAGCAGCTTTGCCTCGGCTTCCTGTAGTCAGCTGCTGGTCAGTTTCAACAGCGGCTGAATCTGGACACCAGTTCCGACTTACATACAGATTCAACTTAAGAACAAACCTACAGTCCCTATCTTGTACGTAACCCGGGGACTGCCTGTCTACACCAGACTTACATTCTTATACCAACATTAAAATACTATATTTTGGCTACAGCCTTAGCAGGTGTGAACCCCTGACAGGCTGTCACTGAGGCTGTTAACTCCGTTCCTCAGAGTCACTAGTGATCAGAGCAGGGGTGGGCAATCATATTTTAGCAGAGGCCACTTCAGAAATTTTTCAAGTGGCCCTGGGCCACACTGGAAGGGGCGGGGCCTCATGTGGAAGGGGTGGAGCCTCAAGTGGAAGGGGTGGGGCCAGAATACTTCCTTGCTTCCCCACCCACAGACCCTGAACTCTTTGCCCCCCCCCCCAGAGATTCCCCCT